AGAAACACTGTTCTAGAGTCAGCAAAGCACTCCAATATGCAATGTATACCTCCCCAGAAGAGACAATGTGTGTAAGTTCTACTGCTGGGGTACAGAAGGAAAGTTTTCAGATCTGAGGGATCACTTAGTGGGGACCCTAAAACACTGTAACATTTTAAGAGAACACAATATCCTTGAGATGCAAGTAGGGAGCAGGGAGTCCCAGTCACATTTCCATAGGTAAATCGCAGGGAGTATCCTCGGAAGGGAAATAACATTAGAGATAATCCCAGGGTGGAGTATGTGAGTCAAGGAGGTAGATAAGTTGTAAGTTGAACCCCAAAATGAAGTCTCCTTGCTCCATAATGAATCCTAAATGTAAGGCCCATGTAAATCTCCTAGTAACATGTTTAAAATGACTACCTTGTTGGGAGGAAAATACTACTCATTGTTGATATATGCTTTTGGAGATTAAGGAGCCCCAAAGTGCTAGGAAATTGTCATATTTTATTCATGGGCCAGGGAATGAAAGTAGAAGTAGCTATAGAACAAGAACCAGTTTACAGTTTAGGACTGGAGAAGCTTTGTTCCCAAGTTAAACTAAGGGCTTGTCTACACTACCCGCCAGATCAGCGGGCCGCTATTGATCCAGCGGGGGTCAATTTATCGCATCTATACCATTGAACGCTCTCCCGTCAAATCTGGTATTCCACCAGAACGAGGAGCGCAAGCAGAGTCGACAGGAGAGCGTCAGCTGTCAACTTGCCGCAGTGAAGACACCGCAGTAAGTAGATCTAAGTATGTCAACTTCAGCTACGCTATTAACGTAGCTGAAGTTGCATCTCTTAGATAGACCCCGCGCGGTAGTGTAGACAAGCCCTAAGATTATTAGTCTTGTCAGAACAACCATAAATGATGTTGTGATTCAGCCAATGCAGATTCCTTTACATCAGGAACAAAGCTGTAATGTAACTCAATGTAACTCACCTATAACATGCATCATTTTTATTTTGAAATAAAGCAGTAAATAGAATTGACAATTATTTAATATAGTAACATACAGGAAATTAGATCATGACTTTTAGCAAAGGGTAATATTAAAAGTTTCCATTCCATATGGATGTCACCAAAAGGAATTGTGATTTCAATGCCCAGCTGCTAGGCTTTGAATGACATATGGGAGTAGCCTTTTTTTTTTATACAAATACTTATAGCAGTGCTATTCTTGCCTTCCACATTTTTCCTGCATCATGATTTAAGCATGAACATAGTTTGATGGTCAACATGAATTTTAGATATACTATTTGTTCTTGGGTTAGCAATCTAATTTGAATCTCATAAAATTAGCAGATTTAAATCTACTATTCATTGAAGACCCATCTACATTACAATATATATTTTTTATTTGCATGCTAATTCTGAGATTGATGTTTAGTTTAAAGTATAGTTTTTCACATCGACTTGGAAGTGAATTTAGCCTTTTATACATGGTACAGATTAGGAAAAGGTTGATTTCCTGATTCTATTGTTATAGTATATTTTAAGAGAAGAAAAATATTTGCGATGAAAATTAAAGTAAAATGTTGTTTAATGTTATTTTATGTAACTATTATTATATTAGATAAATGGATGTTATACCAAGTATGCAAAAGCAACATAATAAATCTTTATTGTATATTATTTTGTGTCCCCTTGGACAATTAAATGTGCTTTAAATCTGAGACTACTTTCACCGTAGCTATCGGAGTAAAAGCTGAGCAAAAGACATCTATACTGGAATATTCCTTATAATTCAGTAACCCTGTTTATTTTTATGAGGAATAAATTTTCAAATAATCTGGGGAAGATACAGTTTGGGATTTTTATTTTGTTAATAAAATATCTATTTCAAGCAGTGCAAATTAGCACTCTGAATAGATGTGTTATACTGCAACATATTTAGAGCTAGAGAGAGAAATTTTGCCTTTCCAGTTGCCTTTCCAATTTAAAAAAGTAAGTTGCTTCATGAGGATGGTTTAGATTACCTGGAAGCAGTCCACATTAATTGATATGATAGATTATTTTTCCCTCCTCTTTGGCTCTCTTTGAGAAAAACAGGACTGGATGAGCAAGCTGCAGCTTTGTGCAGCTACGAATAGAAGCACTAGTCTCTCATAATCCATATACAAACACATCTCAAATTTATTTACTAAATAAGGTAATGGGGAAGGAATTGTGCAAATTCCTCTGATAACCTTTCCTGCTGACAAAGACCTTGGTGAGGTTAGTGAAGTAAGCCAATTATGAACTATTGTTAGCATTTGACAGAAAAGGTGATGAGTGTTTCAACTCAGAGTTTTCAGTAAAATTTGGAGAAATGAATTGCAGTGATTTTAAATAAAATTAATGCTGTGTTTTTAATTTAGTAATAGAGAAGTAACTTTGTTGGCAACTGGCAGATCAGTGCTACACTTTAATTATTGGGAAGTTTGTAAATTGCAATTCTGTTAGAGTAAAATAGTCAAATTCAGTTACACATTTTTATTTTATATTTCATTCACATATGGTTTTTGCATCAATGAATGCAAAGAACAGTGTATGCTACACCAAGAACAACAATTAATAATACTAGCAAATTATTATATAAATGCATCCTCATTTCGTCACAGAAGATAAAACAACAAATATATAATGCATATTCTAATGGAATATGATATCTTTAGAGTTTTTTATAATTCCTTTTTATTTATTATTTTCATAATACACTAAACAAACATATCAGCATGGTTGATTTCTGCATAAGCACAGCACACTAGCAACAAACTTCAGTGGTAACAAAGGAATTGCTGGGCGGGATGAAAGCATTCCAAAAGCACCAGATTGTCAGTGCTCTCAAAAATATGAAAATGTAGAAAAAAGAATAAAGTAGATACACAGATATAAACCCAAATAATAACTCAGCATCTAAACACCACACAGCTGCTTACATTTAACAGCAGTAGTGGCATTCAGATTAAACAATGGAAAAAAGTCCATCTATACTTCTGAGAAGTGGCAGGGGGGAAGTGCTGCCCTAAACTTATCAATAGCCCATCTCTTTGAGAAATGACTATACATGTTACATTTATGCAAAAAAGGGAATTCTAATAAACTGATTAAAAATATCAAACACATCTTTCTACCAATTTAAACATACCATATATTAAAGGAGGGAGAAGTTTTGCTGGCAATGGCGCAACCCTGTTTAATTAGAATTTAGTCATCAGAAGTCTCTACCAATGGTCTCCTGATCAGATCTCTCTTCTCTTATTTTAATAAGGCAAACAATTAGCAGTCTGAATTCAGAAAATATACCATTTCTTCTTGTGGTAACTGAGTTTTGCTGGGAATAGTTAATACCTTGTCCTCATCCATGAAGTGTTTGATTTCCCTAAATCCTTTCCTCTAGACTTGTCATGGAGTTCATATCAGAAAAGAATATAATCTCATTCTCTTCATAGAACAGTTCTTTTTATATTCTTGGCAACATTTAATACTCACTCACAGTCCCTGGCATCAGTCAATGTGACAATGAAGATTCTCACCATTCTCCTTTACCACCTGATCTTCTCATAGCACAAACTGAGGGTAATAATTTCTCCACAGAACATAGTTCTTCTTTAATATTTAGGGTGTGTGCATGATTTTCAGAATGGGTTTTCCATAAAAATAACTGGATCAGGATATTTATCCGCCAGGATCCCAATAATCCTTGTATGCTGGGATCCCATTAACCCTTAAATTTTGAGCAGTTTAACATGCCTCTCCCACCACACAAAAATATTTTTAATCACTGATTTAGCTGAGCAGCTTCCACTGAATTAGTTGTACAGTGTGCTCCTGTAACTTACCATAGAACTGGAAGGAACCTGAAGAGGTTATCTAGTCCAGTCCTCTGCACTCATGGCAGGACTGAGTATTATCTAGACCATCCCTGACAGGTGTTTCTCTAACCTGCTTTTAATCTCCAATGATGGAGATTCCACAACCTCCCTAGGCAATTTATTCCAGTGCTTAGCCACTCTGACAGTTAGGAAGTTTTTCCTAATGTCAAACTTAAACCTCCCTTGCTGCAATTTAAGCCCATTGCTTCTTGTCCTATTCCCAGAAGTTAAGAAGAACAATTTTTCTCCCTCCTCCTTGTAACAACCTTTTATGTACTTGAAAATTGTTATCATGTCCTCTCTGTCTTCTCTTTTCCAGACTAAACAACCCCAATTTTTTTTCAATCTTCCCTCATAGGTCATGTTTTCTAGACCTTTAATCACTTGTGTTGCTCTTCTCTGGACTTTCTCCAATTTGTCCACATCTTTCCTGAAATGTGGCACCCAGAACTGGACACAATACTCCAGTTGAGGCCTAATCAGCGCGGAGTAGAGTGGAAGAATTACGTCTCGTGTCTTGCTTACAACACTCCTGCTAATACATCCCAGAGTGATGTTCGCTTTCTTTACAACAGCATTACAATGTTGACTCATATTTATTTTGTGGTCCACTATGACCCCCAGATCCCTTTCCGCACTACTCCTTCCTAGGCAGTCATTTTCCATTTTGTATGTGTGCAACTGATTGTTCCTTCCTAAGTGGAGTACTTTGCATTTGTCCTTATTGAATTTCATCCTATTTATTTCAGACCATTTCTCCAGATCATTATGAATTATAATCCTATCCTCCAAAGAACTTGCAGCCCCTCCCAGCTTAGTATCGTCCGCAAACTTTATAAGTGTACTCTCTATGCCATTATCTAACTTGTTATCTGCTATCTGCAGTCGCTCCTAGTCTCTGCTAATCCATTACTTTCAAGTGGTTATTCTGAATGACATGGCCTCCAACTAGGGTGACCAGACAGCAAGTGTGAAAAATCAGGACAGGGGTTGGGGGGTAATAGGAGCCTATATAAGAAAAAGACCCAAAAATCGGGACTGTTCCTATAAAATCGGGACATCTGGTCACCCTACCTCCAACTTCCCCTCTGCCAATGTCAAGGAAGCTTGTAAACTCACCTTGCTAAGTAGCAGTTCCTTCATCAGTTTCTTTCTAGAACTATCTTTATCCACAGTTGACATCTGTACAAGCACAGCCAGAGAAGGAGTCAAAGATGGCCTCTGGGGAACTGGAATTGAGGTTGAAGGTCTCACATTAAAAAAGCCATTTATTTCTGGTTTAGTTTTGCTCTTAGGCATTATTCACAGCTCTTCTCTCTCTTCAAACAAAAGGAACAGTGGCCCCACTAAAGAAAATCCAAAGTTATTGAATGTGCTAGACTTAGTAAATATTAACTTTGGCTCTCAGAGCCCATCTACAGCATGTCTTTCAACAAAATCAGGCTCCCCCTCTTACCTCCACCCTCTATTTCCCTTTTTTCTTCATTTACCTCTCCCCTCATAATGTATTCCTGCTAATGACAGCCTTTTCATCACATGTAGCTTCATATTTTCAGTTTATTTGATTTCAACTCATCTCCTGCAGTCAGTTCCACCTGTGATAACTAGTATTGAGAATGCAACCAATAAAAATAAAATATGAATTGCTAATAATGTACAAAATATTGACCAAACATGTGATCCAAGGTTAGGCACATGAAGTCTCAAAATGTACATTAAAGTATATATGTATTAGCAGGAAAAATGCTCTGAAATAGGTCTGCACAAATTATGGTCTCCACAATATATATAGGTCTCCACAATATATACAGAACTTGATTTACATTACAGGAACCTTAAATTTCCTGGGAATACCAGAATATCAGTTTTATATCTCTGATGTCAGGAAGGTTTGCATTGACTCAGAATTTCAATCCAAGGCAAACCTTTCTCTGTTAAGTCTCTACCAAACCACATTCTTCACCCAACATGGTTTGAGATGATTTGTACTCATGTAACTTAAAACCAAATTTGATTTTATTAAAATTTAGATTTGCCAAAGGATTAGTCCTTAGTGTATTCTTAAAAGATGTTGGAATTGTGGAAGACAAAGGGCCAAATTTGAGTTTAGAGTAAAAAGGCATCATTCACATTGACTTCAAAGGAAATTGCTCCCTGTCATTTGGGACTACATTTGACCCCAAAAATTTAAGCTACCAAGATAGTTAACACTGACAAGTGAGCATAGCTTATGAAACTCTGATATTTTATTATGATTTTGGCTTTATTTTTGTGGTTCTTAAAATAAAAAATGGGCTAGAGACATCAAACAAATAAATGCAACCTCTGCTATTCTTTATTGTATAAAGTCCTCAGTTTTCTAATAAAAAAGATATAAAAACACATAAGTGTTTGGAGGACAATTAACCAAAGGCCAGTTAAACACAGAAAAGTGCAAATAAAGCAATTTAGTCAGAGTGTCACAAAATATTCACATTGACCTCAGTAGACAAGCCTGTCCTAATAGCCTAATCTAATTTCTTAGTAAATTATAATCAGTCTCTCTCTGTCTCTTGTCTAATGTGTGTGTGTGAGAGAGAAATTAATGCACTCAGATGTGCTTGCTGATATGATGGTACCACTACACCTCCGTGTCAGCCGTGATACTTGCAATCATTACTAGCATCACAATGGCTGGCCATTGTGTTCCAAGAGCACTAATTTCACAGCCAGATGACTGAGAATTTCTGTGGTTGTACTACTGTGATGTGAATGTTTTCCTTAAGACCACAGTTTTAACACTTACATACATGGTTAACTTTACACACATGAGTAGTCTCATTGAAGTCAAGATCCAGGCCTAAATCCATGTACAATTTAAGCAGAAAACATTACTAACTTATCTCCCCCTCCCCCCAATATGAGAGACTTCTGTTTTAAAAGACATTATTTTACATCTCTGACCTTGAGATGCCCAGGCAGTTATTACTCTACAAGTATTGCCCCTTACTTCTGAAATAACCATATCTTTTACCTCAGTGGAAGTCAGAGAATTGATCAAAATCTGATAGAGTAATAATCCTTGTTTAACCAGAGAGTTATCTGAGATATTTCTGCTGGAATGTTTTTGTCACGTTCAAAGAGGGAAGGGGGCTTTGTTATTGTTGTTCTTAATCTAAAATAGATTCTAATAGCAAAGAGACTTTCACAAAGATCTTCCCCTTTAACCTCAACAGCAAAGCCCAGTACAGTCAAATTACAGTCTGTTCTGTTATTTTGAAGAATTTCAATCTTATGGTGTAACCTTGTATTACAGTATCTCTTATCAGAGTGCCAGAAAGAGCATTTAAAACTATTAACCTCCTTTTGAATTCTCTGGGCACTGTCACTTACAGTTTTAATATCACCTTAAAGTACTACAGTTTTTCCTTCTAAACTGGCTAACAGAGTCAATCTTTTACTCTACTTCTTTCTCCGGTAATCTTATAGGGTCAAATGCTGGTTCCTGTACATAGCCTGTGTATTCAGGTTGTGCACAGGGGAGATCTAGATGAATACAGAAGGAATTTCCAGACCAATTTTGTTGACCTAATAGATTTAGAAAAGCATCTAACTATTGGATGTTTAACCAAATCTGAATTTTGAACCTTTTTAGGGTTGCACAAAACTAATTTTTATTTGTGCACTGATTCAGAAGCTCAGGTCTAAAGAATGCATAAATGGTATGTATTTCTATCAGGATTTTTTATTATAAAACGTTGCATTCAGGTTCTTCTACAAACTAAACATAGACAAGAATTGAAGCTGATTATCTTATATAGATGTATTTACCAATATTAAGTATATTGTTTGATAGTTAATTATATTATTTCTCTCCATCCAAGCGGAGTCAACAGGGTTTTGTTCAATATCAGAATAAAACTTAAGGGAGTGGGTTAGGTTGTTCCTTTCAGAGTGTGCGGCTGCCTTTTGAGATATTTTCACTACTCTCTTAGGAATTTCCTCTGAGAAAGGAAATATTCTCTTTTTTCCTGGAAAGAAAAGCAAATTCTATAGTTCAGACAGAAGTTCTTTGAAAAGACTGGGCAAGTTATCTTAGCAGTAACCCCTTCTAAGAGCAGGCATGAAGATCATATCTTGAGAATCAATTTTAATCAATCTGAACATAGACTCTAATCCTGCAAGTACTTATGCACATGCTTACCTTAAAGACATGCTCACCTGACTACAGTTAAGCATGTGCATAAGTGTTTGCAGGAATGGGGCTATGTGTTGGAGTGTATAAACCCTACATTGCCAGGGAAGGGGCCTGGGAGACTGTGTGCTAAAATAGCCCCGCCCCTTTGGTGCTGTCAGTCATGCACGGTAGGGAGGAGGGCTGTAAAAGGGGGAAGCTGCAGTACACAAGGGGGGAAGTCTTCAGAAGGGAGTGACTAGAGTAGCTCTTGCAATGGCAGGTAGAACCCTCATGCGAGAAACTGCCCAGCTCTATAAGGAGTCTAGCAAACCTCAGGGGTAAGCCTTGTAGGGAGGGTCTGACCTGGCTCCCTAGCCATAAAGACTTCAACAAAGCTGCTACCCAGGCACCCGTGAAGTAAACTGGTGCCTCAGGCTTTTTGTTGCCTTGTTATTGACCCAATGAAGGGCTCAATTTGTGTTGACCTAAACTTTTGCTTTTCCCCCACCCAGAGGTAAACAGGCCCCCAAGGGTGGGGCCACTACCAGGAAAGAGGCTGTGACCTGTACTAGGCCAACCCTATGGTGGAAACTGGGCATGGTGAGGGCCCCCAGCCCAGCTAGGGAGGTGCGCCGGAGATACTCTTTCTACAGGCCATTTAATGTAATGTAGTCTGAGATCGCTAATAATTATTGCATAACTACAATCCATAAACTCAATTTCTCTAAATGGAAACGGAGAAAAAAAATAGAGAACATTTTATTGTATTTTAAGACATTCCTTTCAGTGATATGACAATATCTTGATAAGATTAGAACTTTTGTTTTTTCACCAATTTTTGTATTATATTAGCAAATAAAGATTATGGTAGTCCTGACCTGATACAGGCAGGGTACTCCTGATATTTCATTGACGAAGCTGATACTGTGGGTGATGTGTGGCAGATGCAGTTGGCATTTCAAGTCCAATGAAAGTTATCTTCAAATAGTTTCACTCCATCATTATTTATCATGCATAAAGAATTAGTTCATTCAGTAGCTATAGTTTCCTTAAGTGCATTGATGTGGACACGGCTACAAAACAAGGACAGACAAATGCATGGAATTAAGCGGCAGGCTGCAACTTTTATTAAACTTTTAGCACAAGGGCAGGGCATTGCCCTCCCATCACCCATATTCTCGTATACCAGGCATTTAATTGGTTCCAGTGCAGGGACTTGAGGGCTCCGTATGATATGACCCATAATTGGAGCCAAGATTATAGGGCTTCTTACCGTATAACCCATAAAGTGATGTAGGCTCTCCTCAGCTCTTTCTGAGTTCTAGCATCCTCCCCCCTCGGAGGAGGGACAGAGGGTGTAGCAGGGTTGGGACCTTGGTCCACAGAGGCCACAAGGTCTCACCCTACCACATGAACCCAAGGCCCATCCCCAAAATCCCAAATCTTTTACCTCTGGGAGCCATTCATTTTATTCTCTTAACTGCACTGGCAACCAGCCGTGAACTGTGACAAGTAAGCAACACTACCCCAGTACCTCAGCTAGGTACCATGCACATTCCTAATTAACCCACGGTGGCTTGCAGCGCTGTGAGGAAGGCAAAAAACTGCCCGGTCCTCTGCTAATTTGGTCCATGGGAGAATAAATTCCTTCCTGACCCCCCTAAACAGGCAATCATCTAGACCCACAGCATCTGTCAAACTGGGTTCCCATTCCTAGTTTGGGTGGACAGGGCAGGCTGCTGGAACGGAGCCGAAAGAGCTTTCCACATGGCCCCTGCGCAGGGCTAAATCCTAGGAGCTGAGGAATGTTGGCCAATCAGCAACCCTCTCCCCCAGCAGGCCAATGGGTGCCAGAGATTCCCATGGGAGGAACTACTTATTGTCCTTGGCAACTGCCTCCTTCCCTTTCTACTGGGTGTGTCCCCGGATCCATCCATTTCCCCCACCTGTTGATGTGAGTGGGTGGCATTTGTCTACTACGCTGCTAGAGTTTCTCTTTGAGACTATCTTTTAAAGGTTTTCTTTGTCCACTTTGGGTTGTTTTTCTATCTAATCGCTTTAAATGTGTGTGCTTCTCATACATTTGTAGGACATGACCTAGGTGGATCTTCCTGGGGATAGTTCACTCCAGTACAGGTAATTCTGGTTATTTTATCTTACCACTTTAAACTGATGAGTAACCAAAAATGTGTTTCATATGGAAACTAATATTTTGATGTTTTACGGACAGCAAGCCTGTGTTTCTGTGCCATTCTTTAGGGTGGAAAACACCACTGCATTTTAGTTAGATTTTTGAGCACAGTTGAATAACGTTTCCTTCACATAGCTGTGTAGATGACCAAATGGAGAACTGGTTTCCTGGGTACATGATGTCATGTCCACATATTTGGGAATATGGGTAGTGAGGACCCTTATAAAACATGTATATTTTGGTCCCCACATTTAGCCTTTGTATCATTAGTCCTAACATTTGATCTAATAGAGTGGACCTTATCCTTCAACCTTTATTCACATCAGTAATCCTTAATCACAAGAGTCGTCCCCTATTAGTCAAGTAAGGACTGATGGATCCGCCCCATTTTTCAGTGCTGGTTGGTACAGACTTGAAATAGTCTGCAATACTAATAATCAAATCAAAGTTTTCCAAGGCATTTGAGCTAGAGTCACCCTGACCGGCACACAGAGTGCAAATTGCACCTCCTTGCAACTGCAAGGGCCACTATGCTCTAGCAATAGCAGGAAGAGTCATCTCTGGGACAGAGCAGGTTGTATTGTTACCGTTACCCTCTCACAAAAGTTCCTGAGGGAGAGCAGCTACAGTTTCTACCAGGCCCTCCAGCAGAGGCTGCACTGAGAATGCGCTAAAATAGTGCATCTCCTGGCTACTCTGGCCACACCCCCTCCCAGACCAGTACTACTCATTTGGGGCTGTACTGGCATCTTACAGGCTTTCCAATGAATGGGACCCTGTATATATTGGTTTATGCAAGACCATGGGGAGCAACCTAGAAAGCAATAAGAAGAACAGGAGTACTTGTGGCACCTTAGAGACTAACAAATTTATTAGAGCATAAGCTTTCGTGGACTACAGCCCACTTCTTCGGATGCATATAACATCCGAAGAAGCTATATGCTATATGCTATAT